TTCTTCCTGTTGAACGTTGGTGTCAGTTCACTAATTCTCAAAAATCATTCTTTTGGTGTTATGTTTGTAATTTCTAGGAATATATGGTTGACTTGAGGTGAACTGATACCTTTATAAAGCTCAGCACTTTCATCCAGAAACATGACACACTTTCCATTCATTCACTTTTATGTTCACTAGTCAAGTAGTCTTGTATTTAATTCATTGAAAATCTAGAGTTATTAATTTATAAATCTTATTTATTTGATAGATAGGTTCAGGAGTCAAATATATATTTTAATTGAAAATTTCCCAAAATTTTATATTCTAAAGTGTTACTGCTTATGCAGCAAAGAATCCTGATCATGTTTACATGTCACTCTTATGCTCAGCCACTTTAAATCTTGTATGGATTCAAACATTTCAATTTATTACCTTAAGTAGGTTGGTTTGCTTTTTAGCAGACAAGCACATCATTTTCAGAAAGCATTTTCACTCTCTTTTCTTAATACTTATAACTTTTCCTTCTTCATTTTATTACATTGTGTAAAATCTGTTGAATATTGAAAATTGTGGGTGAGGGGCTGTGTTTGTGGCTCCATGGTAGAGTGCTTGTCTAGAATGCACAAGGCACTGGGTTTGATTCTCAGCACCACATAAATGTAAAATAAAGAAGGGCACTATATACTGTTAAAAGGAACCATCCACCAACAAGACATAACAATTATCAATTTGTATGCACCAAATAATAGAGCTGCAACGTTCTTAAAACAAACCCTCCTGAAGTTCAAGAGTCAAATAGACCACAACACAATAATTATAGGTGACTTCAACACACTGCTCTTGCCATTATACAGAGCCTCTAGACAAAACTGAATAAAGAAACTATAGAACTCAACAGCACAATCAACAACCTAGACTTAACCGACATATATAGAATATATCAACCATCATCAAGTGGATAAACGTTCTTCTCAGCAGCACATGGATCCTACTCAAAGATAGACCATATATTATGCCACAAGGCAACTCTTAGTAAATATAAAGGCG